AGGCCTGATCTCTGTTCTGGGATTGGCGCAAGCCTTCTCTCCTATTTCTTCTGTCTGGAGAGGATGGAAACCGCTGTTTATCCTACTTGGCCGGTACACAGTCTCCGGGGCATTTGTGCACCGGACACCATCGACGCATGTGTTCTCAGCTGTCGCAAAGATAGTACTGCCCTCCAAGCCGTCGGGCATCAAGTCATCAATATGGTAGTCAAGTAAATCTTCCTGCTCCAGACTGTCACCACACCAATTGAGAAGGCAGGCGTCACGAGCCAACTGGCTGTGAAGAAGCTGGTCGGTCGAGGGAAAAGTGTAGGATGGTGCGTTCATTCGATCGGCTGAATGCAATACCGAAGGAGCCTCTTCGAAGGAATCGGCAGCCTCGACTATTCCGGTTAGTTGAAGAGAAATGTCTTCGTTGTGCACCTCTCGGGAGGAACAATTGTCTAAATGGATGCACAGCCGTGAATTCGAGCCGACAAAGTTTGTTAGAGATCTACTTGTATTCACAATTTGGTGTAAAAGTCTGTTTTGGAAAAAGTTTTTAAATGATGCCTTGAATCTCTTTTGAAATCGTTTGCTGAGAAATTTCATGCTTTACTTTAAAGAACGCCGAGGATGAATCGTCGGAACTCCAACAAAGCTAAGTTGGACCGATTCAAATAAGTGGTAATAAATTCCAGGAGGCCACAAAGGCTATCCTTATGATGTGTAAGTCATTAGAAAATAAATGAAAGCAAGTTACAGACAAAAAGGCAACTTTTTATGAGACCACATGGCAAATGCCATTTTGGGTGGATCCGCCTCCATGAGATTTGTATAATATTTTTTTATCGATCGATTCATTTAAAGCCATTCCACTTGTATCGACTCCATGCTCACTTCCATCCTGCGCAGCTCATGAAAAGTTAACTTCCTACTCGTCGTCAAAATGCCTCATTAAATGCGAAAGTCCAACTACAAGCTTGTTTATGCTTTTTACGTAACGAATTGAGCCGCCAGCACTTGTGACACATTTTAGAGCCCTATTGGTGCGTTATTATATCAACAGTGAATACTCCTAATGTGCAAAAGAGGATTGTATTGAAGACTATTTATAAAACTCAATTTAGACTAAGGCTTTATGACTGGTTGTTAGGCGTTTTTAGCCTATAGGGACCGCAGTAAAGACTGCATGTCCCTTCTTCGTCTGCAAATTTCGTCCCGATATTCTGTCCGGATTCGAAGTGCGAAAATGTGCACTCAATAGTGAATCTATAGACGTTAGTACACTCATCTTTAGCTACATTTTGCGGCTCAAAGTACAACACGCTTCAGCTTTATGCCTTCGGATACATCAAAGAAGTGAACTTGCCTCTAGTGTTCCTTTCGTGGGCACTCGGAGCGCTTAGAGACCCTGAACATGTCCAAAGCAATAGATGAGTTTGATTGCTAAAACGGTTTTATATTTTAAGATAGAATGATGTTCCTCGTTCTGACTTTCCATAGCAAAATCAAAGACAAGCAGTG